CGTCTTGAAAATTATTAAAACAATTCATTCATTGAGTCTCTCAGTAACTCAAACTCAGTATCTATAATAATATATCCCCAGAAACTCTGTTACTAACCACCTATGATCAACCCCAATGTAATTTACATAACATGTAACCTGAAATAACCTGTGTATAAAGGCCACCCGTTTATTTTGACTAGTGACCACCTTTTTTGACTGTGACCCACAGATTTGACTGTGGTTACTTCACACAGGTTTGATTGTTTTTTGGATGACCACTATGCACATGTTTTATTGTACCTTAATGGTCACTATATTCATATTTGACTGCATCTTTGGAGACTGAGATTAATACAATGGTAGGAACACAAACTTTAACTTCGTTTATTCACTGCAGGAGCATGGTAGCTATGTTGTAAAAACTCTCTTTACATATTACCTGTGAGGGCGCACTACTAAAAATAATATACACGAATACAAATACACGAATCCATCTTCTTGCTATCAGTCCATGAATGTTAATGTACAAACCATATTGCAGAGTTTGTATAGTTCTGGTATAATTTATATGATAGAAATTCATGTTCTGGTGATGAAGACCCAAGTGATTAGCAAATGATGGGCCGTTATCAGACTTTACCACTTCTGGTATACCTTGATGCACAAATATTTTAAATAGACTTGTGCTGATGTTGATCGAAGAAATGCAATGATACAAGAATATATTCAAAACTAGGTAATGGACCACATAAATCCATTGAAACAATCTTCCACTGACCACTAGGTAGTGTGGTCATTTTCAATGACTCATTATTTGGCTTTGAACTATGATTTGCTGCCTGACATGGAATGCATCAGTTGATCTACCATACGGTCTATCTCAGGAAACCATAATATTTCTCTGAGTAATCTCTTGGTCGTAACTACACTTTGATGTCCACTGTGCTAAATGGATTATACGTTGCTGTAATGCGTGTGGAATTATGAGATTGTATCTTCTCAGTAGTACTCCTTTTGCGATTGACAGTTCATCCTTCACTTTTCCATACTGAGCAATTTCAGGATTAACATCATACCACCATTGTGTTAGTATTCCATAAGACAACTTTTGTAATGTCTCAACTTTTGAAGTAGCTTTCTGGACTTCAAGTGTCAATATGTCAGGCATTAAATTCTTAAAAATGAAATTAAACATAAATGTCCATTCGTGAAATATGGTCAACAAAATTTCGTTATCTGAATGATTACTCATATAATCTGCAGATTTCTTTACTTGGGCGTTAAATGACTTTGCATTTGTATGGTTGCATGCGCAGACACAGACACAGACATACAATTCTGGCTATGGTTTATTGAAAATTCCTTCCACTGGTTTGTGATATGTGATTATTTTAAAGGATGATCCATAGATATTATGAGTGAGAATGTTCACTTGCCCAAAACACTTTTCCAAATTTCCAATTTTCGAAATTGCGCCCAATCCCGCTGGGCTGGCATCAACGATGATCTCTGTATCATACTCTGAGTTGAATATTTCATCATATGGGTGGGATATAGAAGTTTGGTATGAATCTGGCTAAGTATTGTGCCATGCCAAGAAAACTTTTGACTTCCATTTAATCCTGTGGTTCACTGACCTTCAGTAGTGGAGAAATAACATTTGTCTCTGTTGGTAGTATTTTTTTGTCTCTGTAATACAGCTTTCGCTCATCATGTTTGTCTGTCGCTTGTCGAATACTGTGTCGTCTGGTATATTTCTAGCACCTGGAATTTTTTGCAGTGCATCAAAGACAGCCTTCTGAAATATTTCCACCACAGTGACGAATTTATGCCAAAACTTAGTCTTTTGTAACGAAATAAACCCAAGTGTGTGGCAAATGTGGTTCTATTTGATGGTATTCTTTGTTCAAATCTATTTTGGTGAACAGTGTAGCACCATTTAAATATATTATCAAATGTTCTATTGTCGGTATCTTGCGACGTTCTCTTTCAATAGCTGTATTAGGTGCTCTCATGTCAACACAACTGTCTTTAGCCTTCTCTATTATGTCTAACTCTTCCAAATTCTGTAATTCTTTCTCTATATTTAAGTTTTTAACAGATTTATCAATATGTAATTTTCCTTTAACATGGCACATCTTTTCGATGCCCTCAAAGCGATCCATGACTTCATTAACTCTTTTTTTCTTAACTATTTTCTCAGCTTTTTATTTCTATTTGGACCTTTGACCTGATTTTGAATTCAGTCATTGTTTTATTCTATTCCTACTAAACTTGATTTGAAATATGAATTACCTGATTATTGTCCTCTATGCCTTTTGCCTGACGTTCTGATATTTCAAAAGCACGACATACATCAAGAATGTCTTTTAATGATGTTAACGTAGATAGTACTATTTGTGACTTGATCTTTTCATCTTCATTATGCAATGTGCATGTCTTTGCAAGTTGTCACAGCCATGTGTTATAACTGTCTAATGTTTCACCAGGTTTCTGTGATGCATTTCTGAATACATAAACGTGCTTTATGCTTTATTTACTTTGGGTACGGCGTATTTATTTCAGTGCTTCTCGGGCTTCTTTGAGTTCATCACCAATATCTAGTAGTGTATCAAAAATATCTGCTCATCACCAGCTGAATATAGAAGTAAGGCGTGCTTTCACCCCCGGGCAACCAAATATGTCTCAAAACGTTTCACCCATTTTGTCCATCTTGGCCCTATGGAAGCAAATAACACCGAATAAACGGCAAGGTAAAGACTATGTCTAATTATAGTAAATACGTACTGCGTGCGTGACTCGAACCGGCGCTCGC